GTGACCATAAAATATATTGTCTAAATCAAGGCACTTTTGAAAGTGAAAGGGTTAGTATTATAATTCCACCAGGAAAACTGATATAATTGATACTAGACTTTACAAGCAAAAAAGAATAGTCATCTTAGTTTTAAAGAACACTGTTCTAATTAATACCATAGTGAGATTTTAAAATTTATGCTATAAATAAATCCTGATTAGGGAAGGAATACATATGAACATTTTCTTACCAATATCAATATACTTTGGATCCAAAGGCGTGCCTATAGAATTACAAAGAACAAGCACAAACTGCAAACAAATAAAACAAAGAGCATCAACACTCCTGCTCATGTTAAGAAAGGAAATAATACTTAACATATATCATGCTTATCCATTTTTCAAGTATAACTAATGAAGAAATTGATAAAAGTTGTTAGGTACCAAGAATAACACGCAAAAATAAACATAATCTAAAGATTAAAAAATATTTAAAATTAAACCAAGGCTGATTTCTCAATATAATTGAACACTGGTTTTTAAGAGTACACAAAAAAACTTAAGTACACTGGCTACTTTTCATTATTTACACTTCTGAAATTCCAGATCAGCTATAAATTTAAAATTCATTTCTATCCTATAATCAGTTATGTAAGAGCTAGCTTAATTTGTTACCGTTGCACCAAATGTTTCCATCTCATTCTCCTCCTTTGAAGCAACATATAAATAACATGAGAAATTCAGAAGAAGAAGAAGAAAAAAAGAAAACACGTTAATTGAGAAAAGACACAATCCCACCTAGAGAAAATGGCCTAAATGCCCACTGGTTAATAATGCAAATAATTATCAATGATTAAAATCAGGAAAAATAGTAAACCATAATGCACAATTCCCATCAGACTATTCTAAAGTGACAGTCTCATCCTTCCTAGTGTTAGTTATTCTTTCTGTTTAAGAAAGAATAACTCAGATGTTTTCCTAACTACAATTTCAAATAAACTAATTCTCCATGTAGTATTTAGATATAAACATAGAGTAGTCTCTCAAGTAAAATGTGTTTAATTTATTTCACAAATGTAAACTTAGTGGTAAAATTTATTTTTCACATTTCTGGTTGATAAAAGCTTGGCTCATAAAATAAAATAAAATAAAATTACCTATGAGTACTATGCTTCTTTTAAGAAATCATCTAAATGAAACCAAATAGTCAGTACTTACTCTAAAGCAAAGATGAGAAGGCAATGGGGGTGGGGAAGAGTAGGAACACTAGACTAATGGAAACAGAACAACCAGAATGGAAATGAGAATGTTACATTGTGAAAAATGTTAACTAGTGTCACTGTACAACCTATATAGAAATTGTTACACACAAACCTAATTTGCTGTGTCAACTTATATCAAAAATACAATAAAATATGATTTTTTAAAAAATTCCTTCTTATCAAATTTATATATAACCATGGTTCAATGATTCAAAGAGTTCTTACGACTTTTCAATAAAAATAGCAGTCCACCATAGCTTCCCATTTCCTACTCCCCAGAGAAAAATATTTTCAAAGCTGTAGGTTTGTTGCTAGTATGCTGAGAACTAAGCAGGAAAATAAGGCTACAAGTAACACTGAAGAATATATTTTAATTACTCAATTTTAAGCTGTCACTCATGCCCCTCAGTCCGGTATAAATATCAGTTTTGCTAGGCAATAGGAAAACAGTCCTGGTGTGGCACCGTAGGATAAGCAAGCATTCAACCTCAAGGTTGGTTTGAACCTCAAGGTCAGTGGTTCAAATTCACCAGTGCTTCCTGGAAACCCTACACAGGGTCACTATGAGTCAGAACCAACTTGATGGTACAAAACAACAACAACAACAGCGAGTTTAGTGCATGGGAAGGGACCTGGAATCTGCTTTATTATGTTTTGTTTGTTGTTGTTGTTGTTTAGTTTCCTCCTTCCTGCATAATCTCTAGTACTTCCAAATTGCTTTTCTGTTTGGTTTTCTCTCCCACCAGGTGCCTCATTCTGTGATGTAAACTGCTTGCTTTTTCTTTTCCTGCGTCAATAGTTTAGGATTCAGTATTCTTAGGTGAATTAAGGTAATTACCACTAATCTATCTACTTTATAACCTCCAAATTTTTGTTGCCAGGTGTGGCGCTTGTGGGATAATGCACTGGACTAAAAAATTGTTTGAACTGCAATGTCAGCAGTTCAAGCTCACCAGATGTTCCTCAGAAACCCTATACAGAGTCGCTATGTGTCAGAATCAACTCAGGGGCACTTAACAACAGCAACAACATGGGATTAAGGGTGTCTGTGTGTGTGTGTTTTAATCTCTTTAGTGTTGTTTTAGGGATTCCTGATAGGGCAATGGATTACAAACTGGGTTGCTAACTGCAAGGTCAAAAGTTCAGATCTACCAGTCATTCTGCAGGAGAAAGATGAGGCTTTCTGCTCCTGTAAAGACTTACAGCCTCGGAAACTCTATACAGGGTCACTATGAGTCAGAACTGACTCCACAGCAAACCACAACCAATGGTAGAAACTAGAGTCAAATGCAGCTATTCAAACTGCCACCTTTAGCCAAAATCTCTACACTTTCTAGAATAGCCAAAGAAATTAGTTCTCTATTGAAAAAGTAATACTTAAGAAAATATTTAAGTTGTAACTGTGCTTTTTTAAAAAGATGATATTCGTATTATTTAACTTACACTATGAGATACTGATTTTAAAGCAATATTAATTTCAAATAAAGTACATTTTTCATCATCAAAGGTAGCTCACACTATCAGAAATGGTCACTGTTACATAATTTCTTGAGTATTTATTTATACTAGACATCTGGTTATTCAACTTTGCTTATGGAATTTTAACTTGTAATAAAATTTTGGTATCTTAAGCATGTTTAAGAGACAAAAGCTGAAGAACTAAGATAATTCATATGAACTGCCAATGCTATACAAAACCAATGAAGACACATAGTTTCAAAAACAGATGTCTAGACTGCTGGCTTTACAGCAGTTGTCAGTATAGAAACCATGCAAGAGAAGATGGAAAATTACAGCCCAACTCAGCCAAGTAGTTAACATACCTATGCTTTAATATATCAAGAAACACCTACCTGAGGATGATTTTCATCAGCTTTAGTAGCCAAAATGCAGAAATCTCCACAGGTGGTAATAGAAACAAGACTCTTCACGTATTTAACGTATTTCTCATTGTTTTTTGTATCCCAAAAGACAACGCAGTACTCTGGACGATCAGGTCTGGTATATGCATAAACTACAGTATTTGAGCAATAGCCCCACTAGGAAGAAAAGGAAAAGGAGGAAAGGGAGAGAGAGAAAAGAGAAGAAGGAGAGAGGAAGGAATAAAGAGAGAGAAAAGCATAAATCAGTATTGACAAAGAAAAGTCATATGCATTGTATTTTAACTGTACAAAAAATGTGATGTATAATTTCCAGCCCTAACTAACGTAGTGGCTCATGGTGTGGTGGTAGAGGATTAGCACTGGACTGCACACCACAAGGTCAGCAGTTCAAACCACCAGCCATTTCCTATGGTAGGAACCAACTTGAGGGCACCTAACATATTGTTCAAAGCGAAACCACATCAAGCTTTTTGTACTGTGATTAACTTTTTTTAAATAAACTTTTTATTTTAAAACAGTTAAAAATACTCCACAGGAAAGTTGCAAAGATAGAACCCATTCAACACCCTTTACTGTGTGTCCAGTATTGTTAGCAACTTATATGATCATGGTACATCTGTCAAAACTAAAAGTCCTGGTTGTGGCACTGTAGGATAAGTACTGGACTGCAAGGTCAGTGGGTCAAACTCACCAGCCGCTCCTTGGAAACCTTATACAGGGTTGCTGTAAGTCGGAACTGACTCGACAGCACTTAACAACAACAAGGAATCCAACACTGATTCATTACTATTAATCAAATTCCACACTTTATTTGGATTTATTAGCTTTTCCCTAACGTCTTTTTTCAGGTCCAAAACCCAATCTGGAATTAATTATACCCAGTCATCTTGTCTCCTTAGGCTGTTCTGTGCTAGAAAAGTGTCTCAGTCTTTCCATGTTCTTCATGACCTTGACATGTTAAGAGGATATTACTGTTAGGTGTCATCAAGGAGGTTCCAATCATAGCAACCCTGTGCACAAGAGAATGAAACACTGTCCGGTCCTGTGTTATCCTCGCAGTTGCTGTTTGAGCCCACTGTTGCTGCCACTATTTCATTCCAAACAGAGTATGGGAACACTGAATGTTTTAAAATTGGGAAAGGTGTGCGACAAAGTTGTATTCTTTCACCATATTTATTCAACCTGTATGCTGAGCAAATAATACAAGAAGCTGGATTCTATGAAGAAAAGCGTGGCATCAGGATTGGAGGAAGACTCGTTAACAACCTGCGATATGCAGATGATACAACCTTGATCGCTGAAAGTGAAGAGGACTTGAAACATTTACTGATGAAGATCAAGGAACACAGCCTTCGGGATGGATTGCATCTCAATGTCAAGAAAACAAAAATCCTCACCAATGGACCAATAAACAACATTCTTATCAACAGAGAAAAGATTGAAGTTGTCAAGGACTTCATTCTTCTTGGATCAACTATCAACATTCGTGGAAGCAGCAGTCAAGAGATCAGACGACGTATTGCATTAGGCAAATCTGCTGCACAGGAACTTTTTAAAGTGTTGAAGAGCAGAGATGTCAGCTTGAGGACTAAGGTGCGCCTGACCCAGGCCATGGTGTTTTCAATAGCCTCATATGGATGTGAAAGCTGGACAGTGAATAAGGATGATCGTAGAAGAATTGATGCCTTTGAATTGTAGTGTTGGAGGCGAATACTAAAAGTGCCATAGACTGTCAAAAGAACCAATAGCTCTGTTTTGGAAGAAGTGCAGCCAGAGTGCTCCTTGGAGGCCAGGATGGCTAAGCTTCGTCTCTCATACTTTGGACATATTGTCCGGAGGGAACAGTCACTGGAAAAGGGTGTCATGCTGGGTAAGATGGAGTGTCAGAGAAAAAGAGGAAGACCTCCAACGAGATGGATCAGCCAGGTGGCATCATTGATGGCATCGAGTGTGGGAGCGGTAGTGAGGTTGGCTCAGGATCGGACATTGTTTCATTCTGCTGTGCATGGGGTCGCTATGAGTCGGTTCCGACTTGATGGCACCTGACAACAACAACCTGAGGGTCTTCCTCTTTATCAGTGACCCTCCATTTTACTTCTCCAAGCATGGTTACTTCTCCAGGGACTGGTCCTTCCTGACAGCCTGCCCAAAGTATAAGAGACATCCTCTCTTCCAACAAGAATTGCAGATTTGCTAGTCGTTAAGGGGTACTGGTCAGGTGTTTGGTAGAATGTCTCTCAGTTGGGTTTGTCTAATGTTTTATTCATGGTTAGACTGGGTTTTTTGGAAGAACATCACAGAAGCAAAGTGCTTTTGCTGCTAGTTTCGAACACAAAATCTTTCTTTCTGCTAGTTTTGAAAACATAACTTTCAAAAATATGTACTAGAAACAGATACTTTGAGCTAGAACAAAACTGTTTCTTTAAAAACATACTCTTTTTCAAATGGCTCTTAATAATCACCTTATAATCAGGTCGAATATTGGCAAAATATATAAAAGAATCAACCGATAACGCAATTTTCAGTCCGCCTCCTTCCCACGACAATGCAGTCATCTGTTTTCCAGGAACTTTTAAAGTACCGAGATGCTGAAAAAGAATTACGTTTAACTTAAAATATCATAAGCAACTTAAACCACAAATTACCACCAATCAAATCACTTCACAGAGATCAAAAGTGATTATGAAAATTATTTTATAAAAGGTTATTAATCAAAATCATTTTCTTTTAATCTTTAAAAGGAGAATCACTATGACAGAAAAAATGTACAAAATACATACAATGAATTTAATACCAAATATCACCATATGTAAGGTTCAAACCCATCAGCTGCTCCTCAGAAACCCTATACAGGGTCATTAGGAGTCAGAACCAACTCAACAGCACTTGATAACAACAACTAGATGTCATGGATTTAAATATGCAACTTTACTTTTATAAATAACCAAAGGGGGAAAAATAAACCCACAATGCTAATTAAAATACAACAGATTTGATTATAATATACATTCTCATTTTAGAGGTATTAAAATATTAAACAATTATGCTTCTTGGAATCAATGGCATATTATAGTAGCAAATCTAATCCTGAATTGACTTGCCTCTTTCTTCCCCTGAAAGCAACATGGCAACATGTCCTATTGCTTTTCCTCCTTCCTACCTTCCACTACAATAGCCTCATTTCTTGACTGAACTACTGTGTTGTTTTTGTTGTTGTTAAATGCCATGGAGTTGGTTCCGAGGGTTTCCAAGGCTGTAAATCTTTACAGGAACAGAAAGCCTCATCTTTCTCCTGCGGAACAGCTGGTAGTTTCAAACTGCTGACCTTGCAGTTCACAGGCCGATTCGCAACCACTACGCTACCAGAGTGCTGTGGACTAATGCATCAGACTGCAAAGCCATTTGAACTACAAGGTTGGCAGTTCAAGCTCACCAGCTGCTCCTTGGAAACCCATTACAGGGTCGCTATGGGTCAGAATCGACTCGACGGCACTTAACAACAAGTAATTCGTTATGCCAAAATCTGGCTTCCCAAATGGTCAGATTATCTTGTAAATTTCATGATAAAATGCTAAGTGAGACCTGCAATCTGAAGCTACTAACCAAAGACATACACCTATTAGTTCATCATTTGTACTAACAATATTCCAAAAAGAAAAATATGACAAGTGCATACCTTTTCTTCTACTCCTCTTTCCCCTACCTTATCCACTGTACTTTTAAATGGAAAGAAAGAAGTTCAAATTAATACTTTTACCTCACCAAATGGAGTGTAGAACTGTACAATGTTTACATCTTTATCCTGAGCGATGGCCTTCTGGGATCCTGCCACAGCTAACACACTACCAGTGTGGTTCCATTGGATACTTACGACATACATGCCGATATCAATTAAGACAGGATCTACCCAAAAAGAAAAATCATTAGGGAACTGTTGGTTTTAGAACTTTATAACCTTAAGAATAATTCTTAAATTTATACTTAATTCTTCACATTAAAACAAAATTACTTACTTTGGTCAGTCTCATGTCTCATTATTTGGCATCTCCCATTATCAAAACAAATAGCAAGGCAAGGGCAATCTGGCTCCACATAGCCTTCTGTGCCATGGTACCAATGTATTCCAGCAATACTGATTGCTCCAGTGACATTCACCAAGCAGTTAAGTTTCATTTTCATCTAAATAAAATTGGCTAGGTTAATAGATTATATTTTACAATAGATCACTGTGAATACAGTATTATAGAAATACAGCTGAAAAGAAACTTTTAAAATGTAATTTCAAATAGAAGCTCCATCATTTAATACTTATCTGACCCTGACAGATGACTTCACCTGAACCTCAGTGTTCTCCATTTGTAAAATGAAGATTAAAGGCTAAAGAATTTTTTGTGCCTCAAATGAGGTGAGTTTATGAAAGTACTTTACAAATAGTCACATATCATGGAAAATGTAGCTATTACTACTCCCACCAATGAGTAGATTTAGGTAATGCCTTCACCCTAACTAGAAACAAAGACTCCTGTCTATAAGTTCAGTGATATATCAGCTAAATCTTGCAAAGCCAAATTTTTCACCAGATTATGGCTTTGTGACTATACTATTTTGATCTCTTTTCAAGTGTTAATTTTTCCTCTTACTTTCAAATCTCCCATTCTTTTTTACATTCTTGCTACAAAAATGTCTTTGGTATTTGTAAGTACTTTAGCTTCAGGTATGAGAAAACACAAAAACTTAACATCACCTTTAACATTAACCTTCTACTTCAATACACTGAAAACCTATCCTTCATAGCTATCAGAAAATCTCAACTAAAAGCTAAACTCTTAACATGTTGCATTAATTTACTCTGAATCAATCAAGAAGTTTTTTAATAAAATAAAATTGAGACCATTGGGGAAAAAATCCTGATTAGACTTTAAGTACACAAATCATCATTAATAATTGCGTAATTATATATAAAACAATGTTATCTATTTGTATAAAACAAATGAATATATGTACATATACATGCAATATGCTGTTTGATTTTTTTGACTGCTGCTTCCTTAAGTGTTGATTGTAGGTGCAAACAAAATGAAGTCTTTGACAACTTCAATCTTTTCTCCATTTATCATGATGTTATTTATTGGTCCAGTTCTGAGGATTTTTGTTTTATTTACATTGAGGTATAATCCATACTGAAAGGCTGTAGTCTTTGATCTTTATCAGTAAGTATTTAAAGTCTTCTTTGCTTCCAAGCAAGCAAGGTTGTATCATCTGCATATCTTAGGTACTTAATGACTCTTCCTCCAAACCTAACACCATATTTTCCTTCATATAATCCAAGTTCTCAGATTATTTGCTCAACATACACATTGAATAAGTATTGTTAAAGGATACAACCCTGATGCACACCTTTCCTGATTTTAAACCATTCAGCATCCTCTTGTTCTGTTCAACCCACTGACTCTTGGTCTATATACAGGTGCCTCATTAGCACATTTCATGATACTACTTCGTCTTCTTGAGCTGCCCTTGGAATTTTCTGTTCACCATTTTTTACTTTCTCATTTCTTCCAGTCACTTTAGCTTCTCTGTACTCAAGAGCAAATTTCAGAATCTCTTCTGACATCCATTTCTCTCTTTCTTTTCTTTCTGTCTTAATGGTCGTTTGCTCTCCTTTATTGTTTGACCATGAGTATCTTATGTATTAAAGGAGCTCTGGTAACATACTGGTTACGAGTTGGGCTGCCAACCTCAAAGTCAGCAGTTCAAAACTACCAGAGGTTCTTCAGGAGAAAGATGAGGAGTTCTGCTCCTGTAAAGATTTACAGCCTTGGAAACCCTGTGCCGGGTCACTATGAGTCAGAACTGACTCCACGGTACTTAACAACAACAACAAAATGTATTAAATCTGTTCTTGAGATAGTCTCTAAATTCAGATAAGATATTCAAGGTAATATTTTGGCTCTCATGGACTTATTTTCATTTTCTTCAGTTTCAGCCTGACCTTGCATATGAGCAATTGATGGTCTGTTCCACAATCGGTCCCTGACCTTGTTTTGGCTGGTGATATACAACTTCTCCATCATCTCGTCTCACAGATGTAGTCAATTTGATTATTTTGCATTCCATCTGGTGAGGTGCACATGTTTAGTTGCCTTTTACGGTGTTTGAAATATGCATTTGCAATGAATAAGTTATTGGTCATGTAATAGTCTACCATGTGATCCTCAGCATCATTGCTATCACCAAGGTCATGTTTCCCAACTACTGATCCTTCCACTTTGTTTCCAACCTTTGGTTTCCAATCACCAGAAATTATCAATTCACCTTGATTGCATGTTTGATCAACTTCAGACTGAAGAAGTTGGTTGAATTCTTCGATTTCATCATCACTGATTTTAGCTGTTGGTGTGCATATTTGAATAATAGCAGTATTAACTGGTATTACTTGTATAGTGTATGGATATTAGCTTATCACTGACAGCATTGTACTTCAAGACAGATCTTGAAATTATTGCTATAAAAATGTCTTGGGTATCTGCATGTACATTTTTGCTTTAGGTACAAGAAAACACAAAAATTAAATTTCATATCATATTACTCATTGACCTTCCACTTCAAAACACTGAAATCATGTCCTTCACAGCTACAGAAAACCTGAACTAAAAGCTATCCTCTTAACATGTTGCATTAATTTACCTTGAGTCAACCAAAACATTTTTTTTTAGCAAAAAAATTTAAGACCAATGGAAAAAAAAACTTCTCATTAGACTTTAATTACACAAACCATCATAAATAATTGCATGCATACATGAATAATATACAAAATAATGATATAGAACTGTATAAAACTAATGAATATATATGCATATATGTATATGTATATATACACTGGTATATTCTTACTTACTAGAAAATTCCCTCGATTATCATAAATGTGTATTTCCCCATTTGCCATTCCAAACAGTAAGATTTTACTATCTGCAGACCATGCTACATGACATAGCTGTATACCCTTCAGATCTTTTCCCCATATACGATTCCCTAAAGCAAACATAAAAAACAATTATTTCATCAAAATTTCCATGTCATGGAGGGGATTATAACCATGGCAATGAAACAATATACTATAGGATGAATGTAAAACTGATATTCTCCCATGTAAACTCTCACATAATTCACAATAAAATTTTTAAAAAAAAGAAGAAACTATTTCAGTAAAGAATAGTAAAAATTAAAATTTATAGTGGTAGAAACAGCCTAGGTATGCATTCTCTTTTTGCATTTTCCCATGAAATTCAGATTCAGACATATTTTAGCTGCTTTACTTCTGTTATGACCAACTAAGCTTACAAACTACATGGACTCTTCTGCAAACAACAATAAACTTGACAAAATGAAAAAAAAAAAAACCTAATAATTTCCATGCCATGACCCTCCAGCATTGTTTCCAAAGCCTTCATCACCCTCAATAGCTCTGACATTGTCCACAGCACTTGTCAGTCATTCCATTTATATAGTCCATAAATATTTATTAAGTTCCTAAAACCCAAAACAAAGCCTAGTATCATTGATTCGATTCCAAGTCATAGCAAGCTTGTAGAGGGCTTCTGAGACTATAAATCTTTATAGGAGCACACCACAGAGTAGTTGCTGAATTTGAACCACCAACCTTGTGGCTAGCGGTCCAAAGGTTAATCCTCTAAGCCACCAGGGTGTTATAAGCCAAATACTGTGCTATCTAGGTAAGTAACAGCTACTGCAAATGTTTCCCCCCTCTTCTAAACTAGCCCCAGAATATCAATGTCAATAAGCAAATCAGTCAATCTTCTACTTCAGATAGAAAATTAAAACTTTCATAAAAGAAACTCCTTATTCCAACTTTATATATTCAGAACATAACTGAATCTACACATATCTATTTTTTTTTTTTGCTTCCTAATACAAAGGAAGAGGTGTCCTCTTACCCTATCTCCCATCTAAGGAGCTCTGGTCATACAGTGGTTATGAGTAGGGCTGCTAACCTCAAGGTCATCAGTTCAAAATTACCAACCATTGTGTTGTGAGAAAGATGAAGCTTTCTGCTTTCTGCTTCTGTAAAGATTTTATCTCCTGGGAAACCCTATGCAAGGTCGCTATGCGTCGGAACTGACTCCACTTCCTCACCTCCCATTCAGAGTTCAACCCAGACCAATCTAGCTTCTTCCCCACAACTCCACCACAACTGCTTTCACTGGTTACTAACAGACTGATGTTAAATCCAATGGATGCACTCTTTCCTTCTAGATACTCATATCTCCCATGAGTCCATGTACTCCTTTATTTCCAAGACTGTCATTTTTCAGTATCCTTTAAGGAATTTTTCTTCTGCCCATCAGTTAAATGCTGCTGGTTCTTACACCACAAATGGCCTTTAGTTTTTTCCCCCATTTCAATTAGCAAATTTCCAAAATTATGCTTTTAGTCCAGCTATTTCCAAGCTGAAGATTTATATAACTATGAAATGAGTATATTTACTTGAATGCCCTATGGCATGACAAAATAAAAATACTCAAAATGGAAATAGTCCCTCAAAACCAATCTTTCTCCCATATGTTCAATTCTAGTGAAAGGTACCACTATTCAAAGTCTACTGTTGTACAGTCTAACAATGTAGAGAAAAGTTATATAATTAGGCAGATAAATTTTTAAAATCCTGAAAAGTTAATTAACTTTTTAAGTACCATGATGGTCATGGTGGTGGCAGTGTGCCATGGAGTCAGTTCTGACTAACAGTTACCCTGCATACAGTTTCCGAGACTATCAATTTTTACGAGAGCAGAAAGCCCCATCTGTCTCCCACAGAATGGCTGGTTTTTTTGACCTGTTGACCTTGACGTTAGCAGCCAAACTCGTAACCACTACACTACCAGAGCTCCTTAAAAGTACCAGGTAGGAAATTTTAAAAAGCATAAATATTCTTTCTTGAACATACTTAAAAACAAATAAATAGTTAGGGACTAAACGGTGGTTCTTTAATGTCATCTAATTGGAAATCAACTGTTTTCTTTTTTAAGCTTTTTTTATCAGAATACTAACATATGATAATTAACTTAAATCTCTAAAGATAAAAAGTATCAGCTAAATCCTGATCTTAATGTCTAATCAATGCATTACCATCCACTGAACCAACAATCACAGCCCCATCTTCATATACAATGCAGATCTTCTGTCCATCAGCATTCCAGCTCATACTCCGGACCACTGATTTATTTCTATTGTTGATCATTTCCTCATACCAGGAGCCTGTTTACACAAGGAGACACAAAAAAAGCTACAAGTCAAAACTTGCACATTACATCCATTAGGTGGCACTTAAGAGTTGGAGTACTGGTGTGACATTGTAAGATAAGCACAGGACTCCTAGCTGCAAGGTCAGTGGTCCTAACTCACCAGCTGCTCCTCAGAAACCCTACATAGGGTGGCTATAATTCAGAACAGACTAGACAGCACTTAACAACAACAAAAAATTGGAAACATTCTATAAAATGTACTGTGGAACAAATAATTTTCTATAACATGAGATATAAAACCTCAAATCCAACATAAACAGAATGAAAATTTAACTTAAACCTTGATTATTAAAGATTGCTTCAAAGACTTTCACAGAAAAACATAAAACATGCCTAGCAAGTTTCTTTCTCTTGCTTTCTTCCTCTTTTGATTTTTTTTGTTAATTAAAAATGAAAATTTCATTTGCTTTTATAGAGCTAAAATGACTTGTTTTGCACAAAGCCTAACATCTCCCACCTGAATAACACTCTTCAGGTAACCATGAAAAGACAAAAAAAAACACAATAATTTTATACGCATGCATAAATTCACCAATGATGTATTATTATAACTGTATTAAATATAAGCATAATAGGCAAAGTTCTAAGACTATATGAGTAATTCTTAAGTTATTCACATTATATCTGAGATTTGACATCACCAGCTAATGACAAAAATATTCTTGTTATACATGGAATTGGGCTAAGATGTGACTTGTCTTGTAGTATAGCCAGTTTGAGCCAGGTTTTTTTCTATTTTGTTTTTGTCTTATTCAAGGTTTTACCTTATTCTTAAAAAGGCAACTCTGGCCTGCAGCCAAGCAAATAATCATGTAATTTGGAATAACTAGTCCAGGGGTGGGGAACTTTTTTCTCCTAAAATTTATAACATCATTTGCAGGCCACACAAAATTATCGACTTAAAAATTAGCCTGCTATATTTGGTCAAACATTCAATTAACTCACCTCTAATATGATGGCTGGAATTGAATTGCATTTGCCTTGGTAGGGCCAGACCAAATGATTTCGTGGGCTTTATACGGCCCATAACCTGGTGTGGCACTGTAAGAGCAGCACTGGATGTAAACAACAAGGTTGTTGTTGTTGTTGTGAAGTGCCGTCGAGTCGGTTCCGACCCATAGCGACCCTGTACAGGGTTTCCAAGGGTGTAAATCTTTACGGGAGTAGAAAGCCT